GTGGGGTGCGGCGGCGGGCGGTTCCCCAGGGGTGGGTCTGGGGGTGTCCCGGGGGTCTCTCACTGTCGAAGTAGCTCGTGTCCTCCTCGGACTCCAGGTGCGGCACGAACTCGGCTTTTTGCCGCAGCAGCCCCGTCCAGTCCAGCGTGGCGAAGAAACCGTGGGCTTTCACCTCCTGAGCCCCCCCTGCGCGGCAGCACCGGCTCAGGGGGGGTTCGGGGTGTCCCGGGGGGTGTCCCGGGGGTCTGAGGCGGGGGGGGGGTCTCCCCTGCCCCGAGGCGCCGCAGCGGGTCCGGCTGCAGGAGGCAGGAGATGAGGTGCTGCGCGTCCGGGGGCAGCGCCTCGTCCCCCTCCGGCCACAGGATCTCGTCTGGCACGGGTGGGGAGGGGACACAGAGGGGACAGCTGAGCACAGACCCCCGGGGTCACCTGGCCCCACCTTGAACCCCGGGGTCACCTGTCCCATCCCCACATCGACCCCTGGGGTCACCTGTCCCATCAACCCTCGGGGTCACCTGTCCCATCGACCCCTGGGGTCACCTGCCCTATCAACACCCGGGGTCACCTGTCCCCACATCGACCCCCGGGGTCACCTGTCCCATCGACACCCGGGGTCACCTGGCCCCACATCGACCCCCGGGGTCACCTGTCCTGTCCCATCAACCCCCGGGGACACCTGTCCTGTCCCATCGACCCCTGGGGTCACCTGTCCCCACATTGAACCCTCGGGGTCACCTGTCCCCACATCGACCCCCGGGGTCACCTGTCCTATCGACACCCGGGGTCACCTGGCTCCACATCGACCCCCGGCGTCACCTGTCCCATCGACCCCCGGGGTCACCTGTCCTGTCCCCACATCAACCCCCGGGGTCACCTGTCCTATCGACACCCGGGGTCACCTGTCCTGTCCCCACATCGTCCCCCAGGGTCACCTGTCCTGTCCCCACGTCCCCACGGGCCATACCTGAGATCACCTGCCCAAAGAGCTCCTCGGGGGTGTCCCCGAAGAAGGGGACGCAGCCCACCAGGAACTCGTAGAGGACGATGCCCATGGCCCACCAGTCCACGGGCTTCCCGTAGCCCTGGCGCAGGATCACCTCGGGCGCGATGTACTCGGGGGTGCCGCACACCTGCGCACAGGTGAGCTCGGCTCGGGACACGCCCCTGCTGCAGACTCAGCCTGCTGCCCTGGCCCTGTCCTGCGCTGTGCCCGGCACACATGGGCACACCTGGGCACAGCTGGGCACACCTAGGCACAGCTGGGTGCACCTGGGCACACCTACAGCACCCATCTGGGCACACCTGGGCACATCTGGGCACACCTGGGCACACCTACAGCACCCATGTGGGCACACCTGGCTGCACCTGGACACACCTGGGTGCACCTGGGCACATCTGGGCACACCTGGGTGCACCTGAGCACACCTACAGCACCCATCTGGGCACACCTGGCCGCACCTGGACACAACTGGGTGCACCTGAACGCACCTGGCCACACCTACAGCACCCATCTGGGCACACCTGGCCACACCTGGACACATCTGGGTGCACCTGAACACACCTGGGCACACCTACAGCACCCATCTGGGCACACCTGGCCACACCTGGACACATCTGGGTGCACCTGAACACACCTGGGCACACCTACAGCACCCATCTGGGCACACCTGGCCGCACCTGGACACATCTCGGTGCACCTGAACACACCTGGGCACACCTGGGTGCACCTGAGCACACCTACAGCACCCATCTGGGCACACCTGGCCGCACCTGAGCACACCTGGCCACACCTGAGCACACCTGGCCACACCTGGCCACACCCCCATCACCCACCTGCTTGTCACGGAACTCCCGCGCGTCCTTCTCCATGTGCCCCTCGTACAGGTTGGTGGTGAGGCTCATCAGCCCCATCTTGGAGAGCCCGAAATCCGTCAGCTTGACGTGGCCCAGCGAGGTGATCAGGAGGCTGCGGGGAACGCGCAGGTGAGGAGCGGGCGGGGCCCAGGTGAGTCCCCGGAGCCCCTCCCCGAGCCCCCCCCCCAACCCCGGGCGCACTTGTCGGGTTTGAGGTCGCGGTGCACGATGCCGTAGGTGTGCAGGTACTCCAGCGCCAGAACCGTCTCGGCAAAGTAGAGCCGGGCCAGCTCCAGGGGCAGCGCCCCGATGTGCTTCAGCAGGGTGGCACAGTCCCCGCCTGGGGACAACGGGGACACCGGGGACACCGGGGACACCGGGGACAATGGGGACAATGGGGACAATGGGGACAGAGGGGACAACGGGGACAATGGGGATAATGGGGGCAATGGGGGCAATGGGGACAATGGGGATAATGGGGACAATGGGGACACCGGGGACAATGGG